ACCACAACATGAGAGGCTGGGAGCTGCTGTTTGAATCATCAAACCAAAGGCAAGGGGTGGTTTGTGTGTTGTTTGGGATGATAGTTCCACTGGGTTGTTCCAGGTGATGCAAGGAAACACATGACAGGCACCAAAAAAAGCCTTAAAAGCTATTAAAAGTCTAAAATTAATTAATATGAGGGAGATTATCTGTCCAACTGTCTTTTGGCAAAGTGGGTGATTCCTATGTGCTGTCCTGACAGCAAATGTTCCCAGTGTCATGTGTTTCCTTGCATCACCTGGACACAAGGATTTTCCAGTCAGCCAGGACATCCTGAGGATGGGAAGCAGCACAGGACCACCTGTGTGCTGGCTGTGCTCAGCAGCTGACACGTCCCTCCGAGCACCAGCCTTTCCAAACACAGCCCTGAGGTTACACAAAGTGGTTTTGATCCCACCTCAGTGACCCCAGGGCTGCCAGGGGACCTTCTTCTGCATCGGAACGAGCTCCTTGTTCACATAAATAGTTTAGGGTGGAAGGGACTTTTAAAGGTCATCTAATCCAACCCCCAAATGAAAACACTGCAGTCTGGGCACGCTACCCTACAAACTCTCTGTTGAATGCAATAATCACACTGGATAGCTCTGAGTTACTCTGCAAAGGGAAAAAGAAACCTCTCTAAACCCACTGCTTTGTCCTTTTACCGTTTCTGTACGTGGTGCTTAATATATATTGAATAATTTAAACAGTCCACACGCCATAACACGCCCTCGAATGTTTAGTTGAGCTTCCCCAAAATTTGCTTTGCATGTTTATCCCTCCATTTGTTTAGGAACATAAATGTTCCCTGACTTCGCCCTGTGCCTTTCAGCATTATTTTATGGAAATTCCGATTTCCTGCACTGAAAGAAGCCCTGATGATAATGAGAGGCTTGAAGCATTTCAAGCAACAACAACAACAAAAAAAGCAGTTTGAGTCAATTCTGCGTTTTGTTCTTAATCAAAACTGGTTGTGTGCGTTTGCATCGACAATGAGCTGAGCACACAATGCTCCATATGGGCTTGGCTGCTGGCATTCTGTGAATGGCAGGAGCCACTGAAAGAGCTCCCTGGTTTTCAAAGATTTAGGGATGACCTTGTGAAAGTGTCATTTGTCACTGCCTTGTCCAGAATCACTAGAAAAATCCCTGGAAACAAGCTGTGGAATTGCAGAGCCCAATTCTCACAGGCCAGAGCAGCACAGCAGCACTTACTGACTGAGAAACAGCAGGAAATAAGAAACTGGAAGCCTTTAATGGAGCCCCAAAAGATTTTCTTTTCATGATTCTTTATCTGGATATTGCTCTTCCACTTCAGATGTTACTCATTTTTCTGACACGTTATTATACCAAGTCCACCGTCAATAGGAATGCAAACAAGCTATGGTCCATTAACCTGGACACCTATTTGCAATTCTAAAGGGTCTGAAACACTTGGAAACAACCCACAAACTTTTACTGTTCCCCAGTTCAGGCCTGATCTCGCACAACCCCCTGCACGGTAATTCCGGTCCAGTTGCACCCGGGAGGGGGGATCCACATCCGTGCCATTTTAGGACCAGCTCCCCATTTTCGAGCACATTAACAGCACCCAGAAGGGCTGTGGTGCACAGACTTTGCAGGTCTGCTCTGCAGAGCATGAACAATTAGGAGAAATAGGGACATTGAGTCCCACAGACATCCCCAGACGTGCTGTCGTGAGTGGCTGGACAAGTTCTGCTCAGGAAGGATTGATTTCCACTCATTTTGGTCTTGTGGCTGTGAGAGGCTTGCGAAACCTTTCACCTTCTTTCCCCGGAGTCATATATATTTTATGAGAAATTTAAGAATTACCTCTTATTAAAATGGGGATAGTGTAATTACCAATAAAAAGCAGATGTTATGGCACGACTAATGCTCGAAAATGTGTGTGCAGCAAGCACAACGTGCCGGCACATCCAGGCTTTTCACTGAGATAATAAACATTGTCTTTGTTGAAACGAACTGGCCAGGTCTCAGAGGTCTGAAGTCGCAGGGAAATCGCTGTGGAAAATGCTGAAAGGCTCCACAAAAGGCCAGCTTGGCTCCCACTGATCCCAGCACCAAAATGTAACTCCAGAAGGCTGAAGGGGAGACTCCCCAGCCCTGTCCACCTTGACCATGTCAGGAGGGGTTTGGAAAGGTGCCCTGTGAAAGCACCCTGACCCTCTGTGCTGAGAGCATCCTTCCCCTACAGGCTCTAATGAGCCATAATTAGTGAGGTCCCCAACACCTCCAGTGCCTCTCAAGGGTCCACAACCCACCTGCAGCAGTCAAGATCATTCCCTTGGATCCCTCCCAAGGATTTTGGCAAGGCGTGCCGGGAGCGATCCGCGTAGGCTGACTTTTGAAACAGGAACACGCAAACAGCATGGAAATGGAGTTCAACAAATCTGCTCAGGCAATCCCAGGGTTCACAAACTTCTGCTCAGCTCAAAACTTCCTCTCTCTTCCTTTCCTGAAAATTGCATTTGTTGCTCTCTACAATGAGCTGAAAGGAGGTTGTGGCGAGCTGAGGGTTGGCCTCTTCTCCCGGGGAACCAGAGATAGCACAGGGGGATACAGCCTTGAGTTGCACCAGGGGAGGTTCAGGTTGGACATGAGGAAAAACTTCCTCACTGAAAGAGTGGTTAAACATTGGAACAGGCTGCCCAGGGAAGTGGTGGAGTCACCATCCATGTGTTCCAAAACCAAGTAGTCATGGCACTTTGACTGGGGGTATTCAGTCATTAAGTTGGACTTGATGATCTCAGAGGTCTTTTCCAGTCTTAACAATTCTATGACTCTGTTATTTTTTGGCATAAAAGAATCTTTAAAGACACACTCGGTTTGCAAAAGAGCCTTTGCAGCTCAGGAGGAGTGTTTGGACATCGGGGTGTGGGTGTAAATCTGGGGACACAGGGAGGATCTGTGCCTTGGATGGGGGAGGTTGCCAGGGCAGCGGGAGCTGGAGGTGGGAGCTCAACAAGCAGGGGTGCAGGAGGGCATGCAGGGGGTGCCTGTGGGACTCAATGTCCCTATTTCTCCTAGTTGTTCATGCTCTGCAGAGCAGACCTGCAAAGTCTGTGCACCACAGCCCTTCTGTGGGCTGTTAATGTGCTCAAAAATGGGGAGCTGGTCCTAAAATGGCACGGATGTGGATCCCCCTTCCCGGGTGCAACTGGACCGGAATTACCATGCAGGGGGTTGTGCGAGATCAGGCCTGAACTGGGGAACAGTAAAAGTTTGTGGGTTGTTTCCAAGTGTTTCAGACCCTTTAGAGCTGCAAATAGGTGTCCAGGAGGGCCTGAGACACCACAGCAGCCATGGGCTGGTGTTCAACCCTGCCTTCTCATCTTCAAATCCCAAGTTTTGGAGTCTTTGAGTCCTCCTCTGTCCCAAAGCCCATGCCCTGCCCAAAGCCCAGTGGTTCAGGGTGTGCTGGAGGCAGCAGAGACATCCCCATTTTTTCCTTAAGTCCCTCCCACCTTTCCTCTGCACACAAATGCCATATTTCAATTTACAGGTTAAAAAAAAAAAGCAAAGTCTCCAAATCCTCAGACTGTTGTTGGCCCTGTGGGAGTGTGAGCTCACTGGAGGAAGCTCCGGCCCTGGGCTGGGATGTGCTGCAGGCTGGGGGGGTTTGTTCATGCTAGTTTGTACCAGAATTAGCTCTGCCATTCTGAGGAATGAAACCAAGGCATGTGCATGAGCAGCCCTGACAGCAATTAGTTCTGGCAGAATCTTTGTGGCAATGAATTTCAATGATGTTGGGGTTTTGGGTGCCTGAACACTTCATTAGCTGCTGGTCTATCACACTGATGCAGCTGAGAAATCACATTATAATAAACCACTTTTTACTGCGGGCAGCAACCAGGATAATAAATGGGATGAATAATAATACAGGCCATTCAAAAGAGCTCTGGAATTTCAGTAAATAGATCAAATACTATGCAGGGATGAATCTTATTCTGAATTTCTCCATTACCCAGGTATTTATGAGCATTTTTAATGTATTGTCAGAGGAGCTGCTTCAATCTATTACACTTGCCAGTTAAACTCTTGCCAGTTAAATACATACATGTTGAGGCAGTAATAAGAAAAATCATCTATGATTTAGCAAAAAGATATTTTAAGTCTAAATGGAGAAAAATAGATGATAAGTATTTCAGTGTGAAATATCACTGTGTCTGTTTCTATATATTTACAGGATACATTCTTATTTTTAAAGTAGGGAAAGACATTATCTAGAAAATAACTTAAAAAGCACAACAATACATGAATTAAAAATACCTTAAAAGGCAAAACTGAGGCATTCTCATGCTTTCTTCTGTGTTTATAAACCAGAAATGCATTATTATATGGGCAGATACTGGGAGAGCAACTCAGCATAAGCTGATAGGACAGGGAGAAATGGTTTTAAACAAAAAAAGGAGAGATTCAGATCAGATGTTAGGAAGAAATTCTTTAGTCAGAGGGTGGTGAGGCCCTGGCACAGGGTGCCCAGAGAAGCTGTGGCTGCCCCATCCCTGGAAGTGTCCAAGGCCAGACTGGACAGGGCTTGGAGCAACCTGGGCTGGTGGAAGGTGTCCCTGCCCATGGCAGGGGGTGGGACTGGGTGATATTTAAGTTCCCTTCCAACCCAAATCATTCCGTGCTTCTATGATTATATCACAGTAAAATGGAATGTTCCTTACCCCTGTCTTTGCAGGGTTTGGTATGAAAATGAGAAAATAAGCACGAATCTGATGCTGTTTCTGTTGGAAGTCCATCTAACAGGCTCTCCCTCACCAGGGATGGAGGTGGAGGAAGGTGCTCTCTGCTGTACCAGGGCTGATCTCAGCAGTTCTTACCTCACTGGCAGGGATAAAAGCAACTGATGCTTCTTTAGAAATAAGGCAGGCCATCTGTGAGCATCCCAGTAAAGCCTGGATGGCCACAAGACTGTCCTGGGGAGCAGGAAAGGGTCAGCTCTGCCAGCAGGGAGCTGGGGGTGGGTGGGGTGTTCCCCCTTTGTGATGCTACCCCAGAACCCCATTGCCATGGCAGCCAGAGACATGGGATGATTCTCTCCCCTCTGGCTTTCCCTTCTTGGATTCTTCCTGAATATTTGGTAACTATAAAAATGTCTTTTTTTCTCACCCTGGTGAACAGGTGGGTGGCATTTATGTCACCCAATGTGGAGATTCAGGCCCATTGGAATGAGATATTTGTAAGATATCCTTTAAATGCAAAAAAACCTCCTTAGAGACAGGGCTTCAGATAAGAAAAAAAGCAGAAGAAAATAAATGTGGATGGGGAATTAACAGCACCAGAGTGGCAAACAGCCAAGAGCAGATGAATTTTCTAGTACAAAAATATTCGTGTGTGTTTATCTATAACAGCAAGATGACCTTTTCTTCCCCAGTGAAATAGTGTCTTATGGCAGTGATGATCTGATAAATTAGCCTTTCAAATAAAGACTGACATAAAAGTGGAGTTGAACTGAAACATCAATTTCAAACTCTTTCAGAGACCTGAATTGCTTCTGCCTGTTTTTGTTGTGTGGAAAATCAAAAAGAATGTATCTGGAGGAGAGGAGGATTCTACAGGTTGGGGTTTTTTTTTCAGGCTTTACCCAAATTTTAATGTTCTTCCATTTCCAGAATGCTCACAAGCACTGCTGATCTACCAAGATTTTCAGGAGACCATAAATCACCCTAAATAGCCCAAGCCTGTGGGAGTTCCCTGTCTTTGGCCTGGAATCTGCCAAGGCAGCTCATGAAAGCTGATGTAAGTTAAACCTCAAATGAGGTACAAACACTGTCTCTGTGGGCCATGGTTTCATACAGTGCCAAACTAGTAGGCTATGGAAAATCAGGTAGCAGGGTGTGGAGACTTTGTTTTTCAAGCTTTATTCTTGCTGCTTTTCATCAACACAGAGAAAACATCAAACATCATATTTTTCTGGTGTGAACTGCTAAAGCCTGCTTGAGAGGAATTAACTTAGTATTTACATTTAATTAAAAACCCTACATGAGGAAACATTTTAAGACTGAAGAAGAAAGACAATGTGAAATCCTTGCGATCCTCAGTCCTCTGACTGGCCTCATTCTCCCCCAGCAGTGGCCGAGGTGCCAGGCCCTGGGTGTGCAGCAGAACAGATTAACATTGGTGGTTGATTTTGCCTGTGGCTCTTGCCCATTGACAGCATCATTTTATCATATTTAATTAAATACAAATTCATTTCAGGACCTTCCAGGAGGACAAAACCACATCCCTGTCACCCAGCCCAGGCGTCTCGGAGCACATCCTGCTGAACACAGACAGCTCTGAAGGCTTCAGTACCAACCTCCTGCTTTGCAATGAGCCATTCCCAGATTCCCTGGTGCTGGATCTTGCCTACCTGCCCTACTACAGAACCTCTCATGTCTGTATCAGCCCATCTTCCCACTCTGCATCATCACACACCCTCACAGACGCAGAAGAAAGCTCCGATGAAGGCAAGGCTGACACCAAGCAGGATGAGAAAGTGAGTTATTCAGCCACCTCCACAGGATATTTTCTGTACTGCAGAGCATATGAAGAGCTTCTGGGCCGACCACCCACACATGGATTAACTGTATGGTTAAATTGGGTTAAACACCTGCAAATTAGGGGAGGTGAACTCCCCTTTCATGTTTCTCAAAGGGGTAGGAAGGGAGGAAGAGAGGCAGGAGCATCTCACACCACACTGTTCCTCAAAGTTAGGGCCTTAGGAACAAAGTGATGTCTTGTGCCCTGAAAACATGATGCAGGAGCAGAGCTATCTGCAAGGAGGAGATACCTAAGGCAGCCCTGGCAAGGTCCCTGTCCCTTGAAACAACCTGTGGTCCCCAGACTCCTACTGGGACACTGCTGCTCTGATGGGATCTGTCCCACTGCTGTCCCTGCTGTGTCCCCAGGGGCAGGGCAGTTCCCATCTCTTGAGCCCTTAGCTCTTGGTCCTGCACATATTTTTTTCAGAGCATCCCACCGAGTCTGGAGTTGAGCAAGAGGACAATTTCTCCTCCAACCCACGGAAAGAAACCATCCCAGCAGCTCCCATCAGAAGCCAGCACCTCTGAACTCTGCCCACCCTCCTCCCCCAGCAGGCTCCCACCCCTGAGCCAGCCCCTTCCCCCCAGTGGGTACTTCCCTTACTACAGGACAGAGGGAGAGATCTGCACTGGCCCAGCTCATGGAAATGGGGCCTTCACTGGGACAGAAGGTCTGGAGACCAAGGAGGGAAGGCAGAGAGGAGGAGCAGGTATTTGGAGTCTTGGTGCCAGCTGCTTGGTGTGCTGAGAAGAAAGCAGGGGTGTTGTGAACAGCATGAAAATCTGCATGACTATGAAATATGAGTATTCATGGATTGGATATGAAATAAAAATATTAATTCTCTCTAACAAAGCAACAAGTGATAACCTAGACTGTGTAATGACAACAGAAAGAAGCAGAGCAGGAACTGACTGATCTGGGCAAATCCAAATAAATTTGCTCTAGAGGTGAGGAAGAGAAGTGTTTTGCTGTGGCTAATCCCAAAGGAGAGATGCTCACTCAAGGGATGTGCAGCTATGGGAAATGGCTAATGGGGAAAGAAAAAAAAAGGAATTATTTAAATCTAAGCTGCTTGGAGGAATTAAACAGAGACATAATTTCCAGTAGGGATTGGGAAATACATTTCCTTTCCTCCTCGCTACAATCCTTCCATTGTTTTACTGGCATCTGTTAGACCTGGTTACTGTGCACAACAGCCATACACAGGAGAAAAAAAAACCCAAAACATTTTTGTTTAAATTCTCTGTCAATAAGATTTTTTGAACACATTTCCATTATGTCTGTCTTCATTTCACTTGCACAGTCAGTAATGAAAATCCTCCTGATTACTTTAATATGTGCAACTATGAGCTCCTAAAACATCAGTTTTGACTCTGGAAAACTGGGAAACAGCATCCAGAAACAATTTGGCTTTGGTGAATCTGGACTGATTTACACCAGATGAGGATTTGACCAAAAAGGTTCAGCTTGGTGTGTCCTTTGCAGTTGTGAAATCTTGCAACATCCTCTCCTTGTTGCCAACTCTGTCACCTCTTCGAGACACCACACCAGTTGATGAAACACGGCCCTTTCCCATCCCTGTGCTGTGCACAGTCAATTCCTGCTCAAAACAGAGGAGTTTATTCCAACCATTTAGTAAATCTTGGAGTGCTTCTGTAGGGATGACACTGGTGTGATGGGGTATGGATAGGCTGGATCTAAATGTACCAGTGTCACCTATTTTCTCTTAAGGATCAAAGGAGCAAAACACAGCATTTTTAGTTATTTCACATCTCCATAGTTAGACCAGTTTTCCCTGTGCTGAGTGTGACACTGAGACCAGGAATCCTACAGCCATGCAAGGTACATGGTTGGGATAATAATTTCTGCCCACACTGCACTTTTGTGGGTTTTGACCAGCTGGGAAGGGATTTTTGGCTGGATGCTAAAAAACAGCAAAGCTCCCAGACTGGAGCTTTGATCCCAGTCTCTCTGGGACTGCTCAGGATGAAGTGGTGCTTCACCTCCAGGTTTTTAGAAAACCTGGGTTCAGCCAAACTGGTGAGAATTCATCCCAATGTCCACACACAGCTGTCCCAGCTGGAAATAGGAATGCCTTCTGCATCCCTGCATCCCCACAGCACCTCAGCATGATCCTGCCACCTTCCCACTGGAAAACAATCTGACTCTGGATGAAATAAGTCTGACTGTATGAAACAGCTTCTGGTTTTAAGCACAAAGAAAACTGATTGAAAGAAAGCCATGAAAAATACAGTGAGATTATCCAAACTCAAGGGAGCAGGCAGAGGAGGGAAGGAATTCTCTCTGAAAAGCAGGTGTGGTTTGTTCTGAGAATATTAAATTCAGCATTTCCATAAATTTGGCATATTAAAATAGCTTCAACTCTGGAGCATCAAATCCACAAATCTGCCTGACTTCTACTAGATAGAAAATAGCTGCTTCCTATTGGTTGTACTTGATAATTTATGGGAACAGTGAACATCAGAAATCAAGGATTTGGGAGATGAGTATTACAAGCTTTACGCTTATGGATCAGAGAAGCATAATTTTAATCAAAAGCTGGCAAATATCGTATCATATGTTGCCATCTTGAAGTTGGAACCGAACAAAATTCGTGATTTTAATATATTTTCCATGCAGAGGTAAAAAGGAAGGGATGGAGGGCAGTGTTGGAAGCTTCTGGGTTTCTCTCTAAGGCTTATGCTGCTTTATTGCTTTTCCACATAGTTAACATCCTGCACACAGGCAGCAAAGGATTTTTGTCGAGCTGCTCTGGGGATCAGGCTCTGCCTCAGTGAGGACATCACGTCCCCTCCCTCCAAGAGAGGTCCCTGTCAGCCCCAAGTAACAAACACTTTGGTTCAGCCTTGTGTACTGGTAATGCATTTCCTTTCATCTCTCCGTTTGAAAAATCCATAATTATTGCTCTAAACCTTCAGTACTTCAATACCAGCAGCCCTCTGGAGTCTGAAAAACAATCTGCAATTACTTTGATGCCTGCTGTGTAGTCGTCATTGATCCCCTTTAAGCTTTTAATCTCGTGAATTCACAAACCTAATTCATAAAACAAACCAAACAAACCACAGCAAAATATCCCCTTTAACAACAGAACTGGTGATGATTGGAGATGTCTTTGGGGACTTCTTATAACGCAGGTTCTCCTTTCTCAAGGGCTGACGTCAGATTTCGTTTGGAAAGGGGGGAAAGGATTTAGTCACACTGTTTGGTAATCTGTGTACCCCTAAGGAAAAACCTGCTTCAAAGTAAATAAAAAGACTCACAGAGACATGGCAGGGCATAGAATTTATCTCTGAAATCGCACAGAAGATACTTTCTTTAGCAAAGCACTTCAGGCCTTAAGATCTAGACCCAGATATTCCTAAAATCAATAAGAAACCTCCCTCAGCCTCAGCAAGGTGGATCTTGGGGCTCCAATCTCCCTATCTGGGATAGAGCAGCAGGCTGAAATACTCCTTTTATAAACCTGAACCCCAGAAAATGCTGCTTTAGGGAGAAAACAAGCTCCCCAAAGTTTAAATGTATTGGAGTGCCCCCTGCCCGAAGGACTGTGGAGGCTGAGCTCTCCTTTCTCTCCTAAATCCTCATTGCGTCAATGTATTAATTAATAACTTTACTTTGAACTCCTAGAAACTAGAAATTAAGCTTTTGGCAAGCAGAATTTATCTCAGAGCAGCAGAACTCAGCATTAAACAAAGAAGCTTAAACAGGTCCCTGCCCAGCAACGTGATGGGGAGGAATGGAAGTGAGTCATTAACATGAAACCACCTGGCTTCCTTTCAGAGCTGTATTTATGGACAGTGATTAGAGAACACCTTGAATATAAACCTCCATGCAAATATCAGCACACACACATCCCTGGGTGAGGGGGGAACCACACGGCCCTCCTGCTGGGACAGCCTAATCCAAGATTCTGGGGTTTACCAGTGCAATTTAGGAACCACATCAGGGATGAGGGACCACGTTCTGCAGAGCAGGGAGAGGTGGAAGGTAGTGCCTGAGGGCTGTGCTGAATGCTAATCATGAGCAGGAACACATGGAAATGCAAAGGAATGAAGAAGCAAGGGATGCAAGCTCCAGGGATCCACAGGGAAGCTGGTGCAACAGGAGGGAAGCAGCTGTGCTTCTGCCACACCTGCACCCTGGAAGGGATCTGATTAGTCTGTCCTGACAGACATATATCTGGGTCTACCTGGAGCTGTATCCTAATGAGTGTGTTTGGACCCCAAGTGAGGCACCTGCCCAGAACAAATGCTCCCCAAAACACGAAGAAAAGGGCTGGGCTGGACAAAGGCACAGGCTGGACTCATCCTTTCTTGGATGTGCAATCCTTTCTTGGATACAGGTGGGAAGGGATGATGAAAAAGCAAACAGCCCACTGGCCTCTGTAATCCCCCATAAATCCATCTGTCCCCACCCCAGTGCTACCAGTTCTCATTAACTCCCTCCAGGTTCCCAGTCTGCTGGGGACACTTTTGCCTTTCCCAGGAAGGTGAGTGATGGGATTTGCAGGTGTGGGCAAGGCAGAAATGCCAGGACCTGATCCAAGTTGTGCAGTCTTTGACTTCTGCAGCAATCATTAGTCTCACACATGGAAAAATGCATGTGCTGTGTGTTTTAGTTAGCAGCCTTTTATCAAGGCCGGTGTCCTTGGGCTGGTTCCTGCTACTGGTAGGTGTAAAGAGGGAAATGCATTCCCCAGGACAGCTGTACATCAGGATCACCTGAGCTGTGCACTCCTCCAGAATCATGTTTGAAATGCACACACTGTGCAGGGGAATGGCTGTGCTTCTGCTTTTCTGTGCACCTACCTCTGTGCACGAGGGAGAACTTCTGTACTGGGAGGGTGACTGAGCACTGGAACAGGCTGCCCAGAGAGGCTGTGGAGTCTCCTGGAAATACCCAAAAGCCTCCTGGATACAGTCCTGAGTAATCTAGGAGATCCTGCTTGAGCAGGG